TATATATATATAGTGGTGTACGTACACCTAAAAGTATTTCCTCTTGGGTGTCTTCATCAATCCGCCGCGTCGTGTTGCTGCCATCAGCAACTATAAAGGAAGTAAGGGCACTTGTAGCAAATGTCTGCAGCAGCAGCAGCAGCAATAGCAGCAGCAGCAGCAGCGAAAGAGGATGCAGCTGTTGCTTTTGCTGTTGCTGCTGCTGCTGCATCTTTTAAATGGTGTTAAGGGGGATTAGAAGTGCATGCACGAACAACAGCTGTATACATATACACCCCAGGGAAGGGAAAAGGAGAAAAAAGGAGATATATACTATATATAATATATAATATTGTTATTTTTATTGTATATAATAGATATAATATATATAATATATATATTATATACATTTAACGCACCATTGTTAGCCAATAGTTTTCCTCAACTTCCTTTATAACAATAATATATTTATCTGTGCATATTGACCTTAGAGGAGCTTCTCCAGGGGAGAAGGGCCTGTATACAGGTGTACATACACCCGAAAAAGGGTAAGAAGGAGAAATTATTCAATTAAGAGAATAAGATATTAATTCATCATCTTATTGATAAAGACTTACTTTATAAACATCAATAAACCCTCGATTAGCCCTGCCTGACATCTTCTTTCCTCTGGTTCCCTATCTGATGGATAACTGAAGACAATTTTTGCCTCTTGTTCCCTTTCCTCCTTCGTTAGACCATCATACGTTCCTGTTTCTTCCTCCTCATTATCCTCTGATCCTTTTGAATCGGAAGGAGAAGATCCTTCGTCTTCTTGTTGCTCGTATTCCTCAGGAAGAAGTGTTGGATTAAACAAGAGAATACCTACAATACCTGATGAGTCTGTTGATGATGGTGTCTGCTTTCCTGACGGAGAAGCGGCAGAGGCCGAGTCCGTTTCGTTCTGTTTCCTCGATGAAGAGAAGAACATTGCAAGAATGACTTAAATTAAAAGTCAAAGATTAACAAAAAGAAAAGAGAATCCAAAGAAACGCCAAATTAATACGATCAGACTCCGGGGAGGGGGGAAGGAAAGCTGAACAACAGAACAGGTTGTTGATGAATTATTAGAGAAGCCCCAGTGTCTGTCGTATTTCGGTAATAAACCATTACAGATTACATAAAGAGAAGTTAAAAGGATAAGAAGAAGAAAAACAAACCATGAATTAATGACAATTGGAACTTGAACAAGTTGAATAAAGAAGGTCCAACTTAATTGAACTGCGGTGTACAGGCAGCTCCGGTTTCACCGACATGCATACTGGCAAGAGTTGAAATCAGAAGTTGCAAAAGAATCATCAAAAGAGGAAATTTGCACAATTTATTGGATTTGTTTATTCAATTTTATTTAATCAAAAGGAATTTTAATTACTCTTACATTTTATTCACCACCTCCATCTTCTCCCTCTTGTCTTGCTGTTGTTGTCAGCCAGCCTCTCTGCACCGCTTTCTGCTCATTTTGCATGTGCACGGAAACCAAGGGAGGAAAGCTGATTATATTCCCTTCGGCCTTGTCTATTGAGTAAGTTTTCTTGTTTTATTATTCTTAAAGTATATTTTTCTTGTCTTTAATGAAGACTTTCCTCCAATTTGTAGTGCAAGAACGACTATAAAACGGCGCTCATTTATACATGCTAGTAGGCAGCAACCATGGCAGCCAGTGCCTTGAGTTCAACTCCTACTAGTGACTCTTCAACTAGCTGAAATTCTTTTTCTTTTTATTCTCCTTGTTTTTCTCTTTATTTAAAGGTCTCTGTTGCTGCCAGTCGCGCTATATCTCGAGCTTTCTTGCTGCCTCGATGGTTCCTGCAAGAGATTTTGAATCTTACTTCTTTCCGGTGTATACCTCGTCTTCCTTTGCATGCAGATTGTGATGTTTATTGTTGAGTCCGTCGTCTTTTTCCGCTTCTCCTCCTTTCTTCTCTCCCCTCTTTAAAGGAGCATTTTTGTCATTTCAATATGCAGCAGACCACCATCAGCAGCAACAGCAGCAGCAACAGAAGCAACAGGAGTACCATAAGCGGGTCGTTTTTCTTCTTTTTTCTCCCATTTTTTATAAATAATAATAAAATCTTTGTTACAACAAGATGGCTATGATCCCTGAGTTTATATTAAGTAATTGGCCTTCTTCTCCTTTATGGCCTCTCTTCAGACTTTCTAAGATTCGTCTTCTTAGTAAACCGGAGCCCTCTATGGTAGAGTTTACAGTTTTTGCATTTTTGTCTTCTCTTTGTATATCAATTGTGCAGCTATTGTTGCATATACACCCCAACACCTCACCATTTAGTAGACCTGTAACAGCAGCAGCAGCAGCAGCAACAGCAGCAGCAGCAGCACGAGCAAGAGGAATAACAACAACAACAGCAACAGCAAGAATACCTCCTTATATATCAACACCATCTGGTGCTGCATTAGCTGCTGCAGCTGCTGCATTTGCTGCATCAGGACAACAGCAGCAGCAGAATTATCACCATAATCAGCAGCAGCACCATAATCAGTATCAATATAATGATGAGGAAGAATCCTTTTTAATTATAGATATATATAATAGAATATTATTTAATTTTAATCGTTTATTTCTTCTTTTCTTCTTTCTTCGTCTCTTACATTGGGGCTGTCGTCGTATTTTCTTTGTTCGTCTTATTCATCTCTTCTATGAATTCAAAAGATATATTCAACAGAGATTTGCAGGTAATTCTTTTTTTTTTTTTATTCCTTTTTTCCTTTATTCCTTTTTATTCCCTTTTATTCCTGTTTATTTTTATTCCTTTTTATTCCTTTTTATTTTTATTCCTTTTTATTCTATTTATTCTTATTCATTATTCTTGTTCTTGCATTTACTCTGCTTCCTTCTTGCTCCGTTATTTTTTTTTATTCCTTTTCTTCTTTTTCTTTTCTTATTTCCTTTCTCTTCTTATTCTTATTACTCTTCTCATTGCAACATCTTGTGCTTGTTAACAGTAGTAGCAGCAGCAGCAGCAACAGCAGCAAACAAATAAAGCACTTTCTGTTCCTTGTTGAGCTGCTTCCCTGTTGCGGTGTACATACACCTCGTGATTCATCTTTATTGTACTTCTTTTGCAGCTACTCCTCAACAAAATGGAGAAAAATTAAACGATGACGAAGTAAAAGATAACGACGAATGCATGCAGCCCCAAACTGACGAACAAGAACAAACTATTAAAAACAAAGAAGAGACCGGCAACTCCCCACAACAAACAGAGCCAGCAGCCGCAGCAGAAAAAGCAGCAGATACAGCAGTAGCAGATACAGCAGCAGCAGCAACTGCGGAAACGGCAGAAGCAGCGGCAGGAACAACAGCAGCAACTGCAGAAACAGCATCAGCAACTGCAGAAGCAGCAGATGCAACTGCAGAAACAGCAGAAGCAGCAACAGAAACAGAAGCAGCAGCAGCAGCATCGGCGGCAACAGCAGCAGAATCGGCAGCAGCAGCAGCAGCAGAATCGGCAGCAGCAGCAGCAGAAACAACAGCACCAGCAGCTGAAACAGTAGCAGCGGAAGCCGAGGCAGCAGCAGAAACTGGAGCAACAACAGCAGCAGCAGATACAGCAACAACAACAGCAGCAGCAGCAGCAGATACAGCAACAACAGCAGTAGATACAGCAACAACAGCAGCAGCAGAAGATACAGCACCTACAGCAGCACCAGCCGCTCCATCAGAAACAACAACAGCAGGAGCAGGAGCAGCAGCAGCAGAAGCAGCAACAGCAGCAGCAACAGGACAAGATGCTGGTGAATCTGCAGAGGGAACAAACATGTCTTCGTCTGAATCACCAGGAAGGAGAAAAGTCATCAAAACTTTGGCTGTACTTGGATCAGGTGTATAAATAAATAAACAAATAAATAAATAAATAATTTATATAAATAAATAAATAAATAAATAAAATAGTATATATAGTATCTTTACAGTTTATTTGCGTGCATGCATGCAGATATATATATAAGTTAATAAGTTGCGTATACACCTGATGATATTGTGGTGTATATATGCAAGTGGTCACACACCTGACATGTTACATTTATTAGAGGCATTAAATATAAATAAATAAATAAAATAAAATAAAATAAAATAAAATAAAATAAAATAAAATAAATAAAATAAATAAATAAATAAATAATTATGGTGTATATTCAGGTGGGCATACATCAGAAATGTTACGATTAATAGAGGGATTAAATATAAAAAGATTTAAATTTATATTTGTTATTGCTAAATCTGATCAACTTAGCCAACAACAAACTATTCAATTCCTACAGACACATCCATTCAATCAGGTAAATTAATATATTTATTTATTTATTTTATTTATTTTATTTTATTTATTTTATTTATTTCTTAATTACTCATTTTATTCCTTTATATTTCTATATAATATATAT